ATAGTGTGCCCACCCTTAGGCAAAGGGAGCAGTAACCTTGTTACAGGAGTCCGGGAACTCTGGTGATTGTCCTCCTGACAATGACTATGATAAGCTGGCCCACCTACCTTTACCTCTGCTATATATATTTTCTTTACGGCCACTTTTTTTAATTTACGCCTATAGCACCTGGTCTTCCTAGGTGGTCTCTCATCCAAGTGCTAATCAGGCCCAACACTGCTTAGCTTCCAAGATCAGACTGGATCGGGCTTACTCAGGGTGGCATGGCCGTAGACCATGGACCATGGCTCCACTGGAGCGCGAACCCAGGACCTTCTGCGTGTAAAGCAGATGTGCTAACCGCTACCCTATGGAACCACAACCAATAGCCAGATTTTTTTATCCTTGGCAGTGAAAGGATTCATTTTCTAGAATCTAGATTTCCTAAAGATATGTTTCTACCCAAAATAAAACATAACAGGATCTCTGTATAGGATCACATCCAGCCACCTTCAAGCTTTAGACACGAAGATTCCCTTTAGTCAGGAAATTTAGAGGTGGAGAGGATATAATCTTAGGCAGCTGGTAAGTCATATGAAAAGAACACTACTAGTTCAATAACTTGTCCTTCCTCACGTGGGTTAGGCTGCGACTGGGCTCACAAGCTCTTGGGGTAACAGGTAAGTCTGCACCTTTTTCTGCAGAGAACTTTCTGCACAGAAAATTTCCACACCCTTTGAGTAGAAATCTGAATTAACCCAGATGAGACAAAAATTTTGCACTAGAGTTGCAGAATACGGCTGGGCATTTTAAATGGTAGCCTAAAGATCTAAATCCTCTGCAGGCAGATTCAGATAAGAGTCAGTCTTATAAGGAGCAAAAAGGAAAATGTGGGTTTGTAACTGAAATGATTATAAAGGTCTCACAGAAGAGAGGTTAAAATTTTGTGCTTGTTTTAACAATTCATTTGTTCATCCATTAACTCATTTTTTATTCACCAAATATTCAAGTATTAATAAGTGCTAGAAAATGGAGAACAAGACCTGGTACCTGCTGTCAGAATTTGTTTTGTGGTGGCATATACCTACAGAGACATAAACAGGTGATTACAGTGTAAACAGGTGTCCTACTATGGAAGAAGTATGTGAGAGCAAGAGAATCTAAAGCAGGCTTTTGAACACATGAAAATTTTCTAGAGTGGGAGAAAAACATTTATTTTACCACAATTAAAAAAGGAAAAAAAAAACTATCCTGAAACACGTTGTCACAAGACTGGGAAAAACCTATAAGCCTGATAGCTCATGTGGTCATACCATAGGGGCAATGGTACAGGCACTACTACATCGTCACCAGGTCAAACCAGCAATACCCAGGAAAAATATAAATGTACCTTGTGACCCAGCAATTCTACTTCTAGGGATTATCCTACCCATGCAGGGTCACATGTGCAATGTATTGTACAAGGTTATTCACTGCACTATTGAAATAGTAATTAGAAAAAACCCTCATGTCTATCAACGGGTAACTGATTTTATTCCTGTTAATCTTCACTGAAACACCCTGAGGAAAAAGTCTTTTCTAGGGCATACAAAATCCAGTATGACGTATATCCTACACGTCCATGCCTTCCTATGACCTCTCTTCTCTTCTGTTCACTCTGTTGGCCTCCTTACCCTCCAACTTAAACTACTTTAAGGCCTTTGCATTTTCTCCCTTGCCTAGAACACTTTTTTCCCAGAAGTCAATGTGCTTACTCCCTCACTAGCTCAAATGTCACTATCAGGGGCCTCCTTTACACAACCATCAACTCCCGATCCCTCTTAATCTGCTTCATTATTCTAACAGTTACTCACCTAATATTTGTTCATTTGTCTCTCCAGATTTTAAGCTCTATAAGGGTAGATTTCACTTCTCTGTTCCTAGACTAACAGTACCCAATGCACTGAAGGGGCACAAAATTTTACTGCAAAAATTATGCAACATCTGGGCAATAAGTATGCAACATTTTTTTTTTAAAAAGTGCCATTTTCATGTATATGAAAGATCTCCAAGATATTAAATAAATAAGTCTACAGCCATACAACCCTGAACACGCCCGATCTTGTTTCATCTCAGAAGCTAAGCAGGTTTGGGTCTGGTTAGTACTTGGATGGGAGACAGCCTGGGAATACCAAGTGCTGTAGGCTTAAAAAGTTAGTAATAAATAAAATAAATGAGAAAAGCTCAGACTACGTAACTGGTAACCATGGTTGCCTTTTGGGAGCAAACTAGGTGGCTAAGTCAGGGGTAGGGAGCCTTCTCACTGTGAATTCGTTGAGTGTATTACCAAGACAAAATATGAAATGAAATGGAAAATAAGTTTGGCTAGTAGCCTGTGAGTAAAGGAAAAAACACTATGTTTGAGAAGTAGCCTCAAGTTAATTAGCTACTGCATTTCACGTACTCTAGAATTATCACTGTACCCAGCACCTTTTCCCCACTGTCTGGAAAAATTGACAAATTAGTAACACAATGGGAAGGAGTACAGATTGTGTAGTTCATTCTTATATTTTGATTTTTCCATGTGATTTTTAAAGCAGTAAAGTGCTTTATTGATTAAAAAGAGCAAGGGCTTTAAAACCAATAGGTAGGATTCAAACTTTTCCTACCACCTACCAGGTTAATAGTATAGTATTGTTACCAACTTTGAGCCCATTTTCTCTTCTGTGAGATGGGGTTAACAGGACTATTTTTTGTGGGGATTATTAAGTGACAACGTCCTTTGATATTCTTACTAGAATGGTTAAGGATAAAGCTACGTGTGAAAAAAAATCTACTAAGCTTTGAAACAGTTTACTGGTGCTCCCTCCGATCCATTTAAGAGAATTTTGGATAAAATAGCTTTAATACTATCATACCACAAACCTAGGCATCTTTGCCCTAGTTCTTTGACTTATTACCAGTTCTCACCACCCTCCACACTCCATGACCAGCCAGGCCCCTTATGTTACTTTGACCTTTGTTATGTCTTTCCAGCTGTACAATTACGTATACCTCTTCTAGGTTATACAGCCCTCCCTTCCAAAGGTCTCCAAGCAACAGTTGCTAATGAATTCTTTGCCATTATCCTTCACTCTGCCAACTTGCCTGTTTTAGAGCTTCTCATTCCTGTCAGCTAAACTTGGAAAACACCGTGTTCCTTTAAAGATAGGCTGCACAAAGATAACGATCACAATCCTATGCCATCATTTAACCAAGTCTCAAATTGGTGACATTTAAGACTCCCTCAGATTTTGTTCTCAGAAGGGACACTGCAAGATGGTAGGACCACTTCCACTTAATACTTAGACTAATGCAAAACCCAAGGGAGAACCACCACTGTGAAATCAAGAGTATGCATTACTCACCTCTCTATACCTGGGTAAGGGGACCAAGGTTCTGTGTCCGAAGCACTAAGAGTGCCAGACGGGTTCAATTAGCTACTCATCAGTCAGGTTTAAAATTTAGAATGACTTTATAAACTTTTCGAGACCGTCACATAATTTAGCAGTCCCAACCTTTAAAAATAGAAAAGTGCGCTGCACCAGTTTATCATTTAAAGAGTATACTAAACACCGAAGTACTGAATTGCAGTCAATGGTATGAAGAGTGTTAGCCTAGATACCCAGGTTTTGCTTTCCCTTAAGGGTAGAACTTTCTGTGCTTGTTTCTTAAAACTATTCTTACCCCCATCCCGCCCCTCCACATCTTTTTTATCCTTTCATACTAATCCCTAGGACACTGCTTGTAATCCATCCCAAAGCTACAGGATTAATGATTCCTACTCTTGGCTCAACTCCCACTTCCAAAAATTGACTATCAGGGTTGTTTGTTCTCTATAGATTTATTGTTAACTTATCTTTATATAATACAGAACAATTAAAGCTGACCAAGTGCAACAAATAAGCCTGCCAATTACACACGTAACTATACCAACCATAATTCAGCCAGTTTTCAAAATTCCAAAAACAAACTCTCAACATACTAATAATCATTCAGACTACCAAATAATTTGAGGCAGACCAGTATTCCCCAATTGCAATGCTTCCCAGTAACTTTAAGAAGCATTAGGAAATGGGTGAAGGCAGAAACCAGTATTTTTTTTTTTAACCAAAGATAAAGCATACCTGATAAAAGCTTGACCAGAAAACTCAACTGTGTTACTGCCCTATTAAAGATATTTAAAGTTTGAATAAAGAATCTACTGGCTATAATCTTCTAAGATCTACCAGATGCTAACAAAAAACTACTACATAACGTGTTGCTAAATATAGGTGAGATTTACAAAACTGCTTTAGTCTCATTAACATTTCTGATTGACATCTTTAATTACTTTGCACCAGCCTGGCAAAATAAGATTAAGTATGTTGGTGGTTGGGAACTGAAAAATCTAACATGGGAATTAACAGATCTGCTCAGAATAAGGCAATCCATTCGAAGAGAAAAAGGAGAGTATCTGGGCTGGGAAATTTTGCAAAGCTGGTTTACAAGATGTTTTGTCCCCAACTCAGACAACCCCTCAAACATGCAATAAAATTGTTTAAAACAAAGTATAACATTGAGAACTTCCTAAAATGGGAGTTCTAATTTGACACCATCTCACCTAATGGCCTGAAAACCTCAGTCACTATACTTAAATAGCCTACAGAAAATAATTGTTCCTTCAGTGTCAAGTCCAATTACTTTTTGCCATGCTCATTTATAGGCAATCAGTGGTTCCTCTAGCTTGACAAATCGAGATCATTAACCTGGTAATATATAACACCAACTCCAACCGATTAAGGATTTGTCATGATGCATTCAAGCTATTAGGGGGACCGGAGTTCTTATCTTACCCAAAGCTCTAGGGTAAAAGGGAATTTTCCTTTTCCAAGTGTATGTACACTAGTTAATGATGTTCAAGACTTAACACCATTAAACTCTGAATGGAGATCTGTATGAAAATGGCCGATATCAAGGTTGACTTCTGAAGCTTATACCAAATATTGAACACAGTTCAAAAATCTAGTTAGAAACATTTTATTTAAATGTGCCAAATAAAAACCCACATTTTCAGACCATAGGATGTTAATACATTCAACAAAAATTTATATTATCTTACTGCTGTGAATTTACAGAGTAATAATCCAGATCCATTTGATTAGATGGTTGAAATACCTTTCCTAGGTTACACTTTACAGACATCACAAATCCCTTATAATAATGTAAACAAAATAACTTTTCCCTAAAAGGTGAACTTCAGAACTTCAGTCCACTCTTTCAGGACTTGCACTTCTTCGCGGACTTCCTGATGGGGAACGACTAAAAAGAAAAACATTAGGTTTGGAACCCATTAGTGTCCACTGAAACTTAACTCTTCTCATGTACATTTAGGGCAAAACTCAGTTTCGTTAAGTTCAAAAGTGGCCACAAGCACTATGTTTCAATAGCAGAAACCTAAAAATTACGTAAAATATTTATATATAATCCTTCTGTCTCTGTTTAATATTAGGCTTAACAGCCTCTTTGAAAGAGAACTACTATTTCAACTCTGAGGGGAGCTTTTTTATGGACCATTAAGTAGCAACTAGACAGAATGGTTTGGCTATAAGATTTCAACCTAAAAATTTTTCTTTTATGTGGGCACTTCTTTACCAATTATTGCTACGTGGAGGGAAAAAAGACTATTTCTTAACACGAAATTATGTAATTAAGGAAACACAGCACTAAACACATTTTGATAATAATCATCTTAACATGACTATATATTTCCAACAAAAATATAAGCTGATATTGAATTAGGAAAACCAATTTAAGAAACTTAGTATTCAGTATTTTAATACATATATATAGCACCAATTCTCCAAAGAGCTCAAAGCCTGCAAAGTAGGCAGTAAACAAATTCTGCAGAGGCCACACCAGACAGTTAAAATTTGGCAACAAATTATTTAGCTTACCTTCTTTTTGGAGATGGAGATCTGGACTTTGATCGGCTGTCAAAACATGAAAAATTCTATTAAGAAAAAATACTAACCAATCCCTTTCTTATAGTCACAATATCATAAAATGAACCCCCAAATTATCCTGAGCTTAAAAACGTCAGGCTGCAGTTAAACTAAAAAAGAGCCTCTATCAGTTTTTGCTAACAAAAACCAAACTTCCAACAACTGTTCTTCATAATACGAACTACTTTACCATAATCTTTTATACTCTGCTTTAAATACAGTATCTCAGAATGCTTTTCCATGCACCTATTAATTCTAACAAGGGCCTCTAACGAAGGTCAGAAACTTTCCTCACTATAGCTTGACATTCCCTTGGTTCAGAAAATCAGCCAGAATAGACCACATATAAAGTTCTATTGTTTGGTTTATTACAAGATACTATATGTTCCTACTTAACATCTAGGCTTATAATTAACACCTGAAACAATTCAAAAACACTTTGAACTCTTTGGATATTGGTGCCATATAACTACAAGAGCATTAAGCAGATTTTTACTCTTACCTGCTTCTTGGTCGTGAAATAGATCTAGATCTTGATCTTGACCTCGACCGGGATCTTAAAAATCAAAAATGATACCAATTAGTCCATACAAGTAATAATCTTAAATACCTCCTGAGAACTTTGTTAGGAATGGAGGGGCTAAAAATGAGCAAAATGCAACTCTTGCCTCACATCTGCCTAAAATTGGAGAAATTATCACTTTCAATAAGCTTTCATATTCAATGACCTGGGTTGTCACACTGTACAGAGGTACAAAATTCTAAAGTTTATAGTACCCATGAGAAATATAGGTAATTTTCATTTGAGATTTTATCTTAAGAGAATCAAATCAACCTCACATAGATCCCTGAACTGAGATTGCAATGATTCAGGTGATAAGCTCAATGAAAAAGTCACAACTTGGTAAGGCTTTATTTTTGGATCAATAAGCTATCATAGTTCAAGACCATCAATTTGTCACACAAGCCAAATCAGGCTGACATACACATCATGGGGTCCTGCAATCAAATTATACTCATTTATATAGAGGATCCAGAGCTTTCTCAAAAGACCAAGTTTTAGAATCCCTGCATTTAAAAACTTTGTGGTATTGTGGAACATTACTCAGTGGCTTTCCCTAGCAATCATCATCTATAGTATTGGTCAAATCCCTTTTTTCTAAAATTTTATTCATTTCTATCACCTTTACAGGCCTCTAACAAAAGGAGTACAAAAGCTTAAATTCCTAGTTTGATTAACTCCTTACATTTCAGTATCTCTAACAAGTGTCTGGTTAATCAAACCACATCCACTCATATGTACACTACTACTAACCTAAACAACTTTCTAGGTTCTCAAATTACCCCATCAACCCAAAGAGAAACTGCTTCAACTTGCTTCTAATTCTAAATCTCTTCCAGATCAGGCAACTACCATCTTTAGAGCTAGTATCACTTACTTATACAATAGATACAATCGACTTAAAAAAACTTTTCAGCAACACGTCTATTTAGGGTTCACTGGAATTATGAAGAATTGCGCTTTGGACCCTCCTCTATCATGAGCTAACAACTCTTAAAATCTTTAAACTTTTCTCTGCACAACAAGGGTAATATCCACTTACATACAGGTCATGTATAAGTTCAATTTTTACATCTCGAATGTTTTCTGAAGCACTTCATTTCAATTATGTCATTAAGACATTCTGCTGTTGTCATTAAGACGTGACAATCCAAATATAAACGAGGGGAAAAAAAAGTGTTACATACTGGAAATACCTCGATCCTTTTATAGAACCAGACCTAGATCGTCTGAGTGAAGCTGATCGTGATCTACGAAGAGACACAGATCTTGATCGTCGAGGAGATGCTGATCTTGACCTAAAAATTAAATCAAAACCAGTTTTAAGTCCATCTCCAATTAGTTTTTTTATGCTTGTTAAAACCTAAATTAAAGATCTCTCACCTCCTTCCCCTGCTCCTGCTTCGTGAGCGAGAGTATCGCCTACCTCTGGATCTCGAATGTGATCTAGATCGTGACCTATTTTTCAAGTTAGAAAATAACAAAATGTTAGATGGTAACTCGTTTCTATAGTTTGTGTGCCTCTGCTGAAATCAAATCTCAAAACTATTTAAATTTAGTGTCTCATTTGGAAATAAACTCTGGGCCTATTATTATCATTATTATTTTTTTTACTACCTAAAAAAAGATTTGTTAAAAGCTGAATTACATCTTAGAATTACATAATATAAAACACTGTAATGTGTATTTAAAATAAACCTTGCAAGTTTGCAGGTCGACCCTCTTTGGCCCATGGTCTAGTAGATCTAGACGATCTAGAAGTATCTATAGCCGATCGCTGCATCTAGATGTTTTCTTCAATCTAACGACGATCAAACTGACAGCCAAATGAGCCAGGTGAGGCTTGATTGACGCAAGAAGATTTTTCTAGTTGGGAATGTGGTCAATCTGGTGTTCCTCTTTCTAAACCGGAGGGGGCCCCAATTGTAAGCCAAATTTACTGTTACGGCGATCACCGACTCAAATTTTCTGCCCTTTAAAGAATAAGGTGAAGCTAGGTGTAGATGACTCGAGGGGATCTGGCCTCTTATGCTGATCACCTCAAGGTCTAGGAGGATCTTAATTGTCGGATTTGCAAGGCGCCTCAGCATGATATCATAAGGCTCGTGACATTCTGAATCAAGGCGACTGACTCAAACGAAGAAACCTGAAAGGTTTTGACCAGGTTGATTATTAATATATTAACATTTGTTTAATTAAACAAAAATTGTAAAATACACCTGTACAATTAACATTCAAGTTTATATAAAAATACTAGTTTCTGCCTTGCCAACAAAAGAATTACTTGATTAACTATTATACCAACCATTCTTTATTAAAATAAATACCTGCTTCTTCTTCGCCGGCTATAACGATGACAATCATAAGCATAATGTCCCTTTTCGCCACACTCATAGCATCTATCATTGGGATCAAAGGGACGTCGGGCAGGTGGTCTATCAAAACGAGATCTCCGAGGCATGCCTGTTGATAGCTCAACCCTCACTCGGGAACCACAAATCACTCTATAAAAGAGAAACAGCAAAATTATAATGC